CCACCACCTCCGTTGGTCATATGATCACATTTTGGGTATTAAGCAGCCAGCTCACATTTACAGACATCTGATGCATCTTTCAGTTATTACTACTATTTACTATGGTTTTGCTGGAAATCAGCATTTACTTCTGGTTTTTGGCAAAAACACCCCATAGCAAACAATGGATTCACTTTTCATCACTGCTTCCTAATTTTTATATTCAAGTGTAAAAAAAAAATAAAGTAAAAAAAGAGTTTATTGCTTGTCTGATTTTGAATTCTCTTATGTAATTTCACTCAGCGTGTAGCAATTACCAATTAATAATAAATGTTGGGATGAAACAGAATACTAACCATAATGATTAGTAACCAATTTAGAAAATCTACAAAATTATTTATCTCAATAATAGAGCCTCCTTAATGTAATGCATTTAATCAGCTTTAATGTCAATGTATTAGGTCACTGCTTTGCTGATAGACCTTTAATCTAGAATTAATAAAAAGGTTCTGTGAAGAACTATACTGCCATTTGTTCCAGAGAGATTTTAAAACAAAATTACTTTACTTTTTAATATTGCTCCCTGCTCAGTTAGCAAAAAGGAATTTTGAAGACCTTTTTTTACTTATTTATGCTTTTACTTCACTTTCTTTTAATTTCAGAAATCTGTCATGGCAACTGTTCAGTAGCAAGTGATAACTAGTTAGCTTAGTAGGTGATAAAATAAATGAAACATATTTTCAATAAGGTTAAACAGTTGTGCTCAATACAATCAAAAAATTATTCTTCCTGATGGAAAAAGAAACTTAATGATGCTTAAAGAAACATCATCATGGCAAAAGGTATACTTTAATACAATCTCACATTCTGCTGCTTTCTTCACTGCTTTTGATCATTACTATATTAAGTCATTACAGCTTCTTTCTGACAGAAATGTGCAGCGCTTCAGATTCAAAAGAAAAAATTCAGAACTCATGGAGACACACATATAGCACCTACACATCTTTTCGAGGAGGCAGAATGCAAAAGAAGCTTTGTGTTCCTTGGAAAACACAAAGTTGTTTACAGTTGTGCCTCCATGCACTCTGTGCACACAGTTGTGCCTCCAGGCAGGCACTTGACAGCATCAAACAACCCTAGTTCCAGACCTAAACAAGGGGTAGAAGAATTTTGGTTCACTTTAACTGAACCAGTAAGAATTCCTGGCTTATGAACTGGCTACAATCTTCACTGATTTCACCTGCTGCATTGGGCTGGACTACCTTCCAATTAGGAACTGACGACAGTTTGAAGCAGTTGATACACTGCAACCACTTCCCATACAAAGATTTTGGAGAGCTCCAGGGAACTGCATGAGATGAGTGGGGAAAAAAAACATAGCCTTTGCGACTCTGTTATCAAAACCTAAGCAAAGTAAAGAACCCCTCTTTCTTAGACAATGGCAACCAGTCATTTAAGCAAAAACTGAGTAGACAATTGAAAGTGGCTGATAGTAGTGGTAACTATGAGATTCATCGAAGATAGTTTGATGTATAACTTGATCTATAATTGTTATTGTAGAAATCAGTGAACACAGTAACGCTATCATATTGTATCAGAGAAATATACTTTAGAAACATTTAAGTTATTACTTAATTACTCTGAAAATATATCTTTGAAGTAAAGAAACATAATAAACATGTAAGGTTTACTGCAGTGATAGTTGATACAACAACAATAATAATGGAAGTTGTAAGCACAAAATAAAGACCATTTCCATAGATGAAAACTCTTTAAGGCAGTCCACACAAGGAAATCAAAATTATGAATACTAACACTACCTTTATTATAAGGATCTTACAATTCTGAAAGCCCTTCCCTCCTCTCCTGCCTTTACATCCCAGAGGACTAGGGAGGGTTAACCCTCAGATTACATTTCTGGTTTGGACTGAGATTTCATTTATCAGACCCTGACTGCATATTTTCCTCCTGTTTCTCAAGGTTATCCTCAAAGTCCAAAACAAGAAAAGATCAACAGACAACATGGTGATATTCACATGAAACAGGGAAGTGCTCAGTATTCTATGAAAGACAATGTTTTAAACTTCTTAGAGGAGTGGACAATTTCTGGCTTTTCTCCTAGGCCATTTTTAAAGCTTAAATATTCTTTGAATTAAAATGTTTGTTAGCTTTTTGTTTCTACTCAAGCAATAACAGGTTGTAACCATGAATTAAAAATTTACTTAAAATAATTCAGTGTTATCTAAAAGACTACAACAAAGCATAACATTATTATGCCTCAAAATACTAAAAGAAATCTAGGTAAGTGTCATGAAAATAAAATACTTTGTGCCTACAGAATGAAAACATGTAACCAAGAATTTAAAATCTTGTATGACCTCTCACTAAGTATGAGAATTTGAATATAGTTATGTTTATGTGCTTTTAATACCAGAATGCTGATAATATCTTATATGTTGAATATAAGATATTAACTTTTGATATTAACATTTGTGGGTGAACCAACAACAGAAGATTTTAAGAAGAAACTGGACAACCATTTGTATAAGTCTCTTGCTCTAGCAGGGCTAGAAGACCTCCAAAGTTTCTTCCAACTTTGTTATTTTGTTAAATTCTGAAGTATAAAAAAAACTCTTTTGTGTGCTAATATTAACATAAAGCTCAACTGGTTGGGAACCAAACAGAACTTGAAATGGTTTTTTTTAAAGAAAACTATGAATTAAATAGCATCAGTACATTTTTTTGTTTATTGGCTATATTAATTAAAGCATGCTTCAGCAGTCAACATTGCTGCTATAAATTAGTGTGGCTCCTAATTCTAAGTTTAATAATAAGCAAACTCTTAGCTCTGAGTCAAATCCTTCAGTTTGGTATAATTCAAATGCTCTCCCACATTATTGGCTCATCTCCAGTTCTTGATTCTCTGTAATGTGGGTTCTCTGGGTGAATGTAAGTGGGTCTGGGAGGGGGAGTTTTATTGCTTAAAAACCCTTGGGATAAATTTTTCCTAGTTTGTATTACTGAATTGGATTTTTCAGCATAGAAGCAAATACTAGACATACAAGAAATGTAATATTGGCAAATATCCCTTTTTCTCCTCAAGAATGTCACTAACCTTGAGGTGGTAGAAAAGTACATCAACATAAAATTTGCTGTCTCTACTGGCAAAACCTCTGGTAGCAAATATGGGTAGCTCACAGTTGCTATCCTATATCAATGGATTTTGTCAAAATAGAAGTCAAACAATGCAGTCTGTATCTTGTCATATGAACAAAGCTAGCAAATGATACTTTACCCATTTAGATTTACAGGGCTGGATAAAGAGAGGATTTGGTGGATTCACTGGTTTCTCTCCCCTTTCACTATGGGTCACCAGCCACTAATACCTCTTAAGGGACTTGAGGTTGGAGCCAATAAAGAATATTCGCCATCTTTCAAACACAATTCTGTTTGTGCACAAGCATTTTGCACAGTACTGTTGAAAACAAACTCCAAAATCAAAAATCCTTTGGGCACAAGTTTAAGCCTTCTTTGGGTTCAACACTACTCCAGAGGACTACTAAATCCACATTCAAATGTAGCCTAAAACAACCTGCATAAAGGGTTACAAAGACTGGTACCATGCAGCTACCATTGCCACATCACTGGTGGTCAAATGCTGTTCAAATTAATCCAGGTGTCCCAGATGGGGTTCAACTCAGAGACCCGCGGGAATTTGGGGAGAGCTTCGTTTGGGAGAAAAAATTCAGATGGTGGAGGGCACGGCCATGCTCATACCAGATTAAAATAGCCAATAGGTGTCAGAGTGATCCCTGGCTGCACCAACTAATAGAATGGTCAATGAAGTACATCAGATTGGATTCAAGGCAAAAGTTGCCAAGATACAGAGGAAAATACAACTTTTACAATGTGCAACGAAGGACTAAGGATCAGATGAAGTCATCACCCCAGATTTATTTCAGTTATTGTTTGACACAAGAAAACTCAAAATGTAGAACCATCCAAACTTTTTCGGAAATCAAATCGATTAACTGTGACCTGTCTTTTCAAGGCCAAAGCAATTAGAATAACTATCAACCAGGCAAAGAGAGGTGTCCACAGCTTCACAAACACTAATGAAAAGCTACCTTAATAGTCCTTAAAGTCACAGCTGCCTAGGGCAGCATAAGTTTTTTTCACCAAAACAATACAGGGCTGCCAACTTAAGGCCACAAGGATTTAATTTAAGTGTTGGGCAGGGGAGCAAGGAAGGATAGGACAAGTGTCCCTTACAGGTTGCATGTACAGTTAATTAATAAATAAAGCACTTAAAGGCACTTTTGATGGTTTGGAATGCTTATAAGGGAGAAGGGGAGAGAAAGCTTTCTGCGAGTTTTTTTTTTAATTTACGTTGCTGTTACCGTATTATGTCTTTACATTTTCTTTTTAGGGTGGGATTTGTGGGCTTGTCAAAACAAAGTGGCCTATCAGAAAAGCCAGCAATTGCCCGCTCCTCTAAAGAAGAGTCTAATAATAACATTTCAACAGAATCTCCCGGCCAAAGGGAGAGAGGAGGGAGGGAGGGGCAAGGCTGCCCCCTCCATTCTGCCCAACCTGCTCTGAAGTACGGCTAAGCAACTTTTCTACCCGCGCGCACACACAGCAAAGCGACTGCAGCACCCTGTAAACACTCCTGCGACGCAACCGTCCCAACTAAACGGCGTTGCCCGGGTTTACTTAGGCCACCCCAACGCGCGCCTTCCCCGCCCCCTCCGCCGCAAGGAGAAACAAATGCACTCCGGTGTTGCAAAAGGCAGCCAACTTTCCGCTGTTTTAACTTCTCGTCCTTCGCCTGAGAGCGATACAAAGCGAGAAAGGGGCGGGAGGGAGACGCAGCCCCTCGTCAAAGGTTCCATCCCTAAGGCTTCCCTTCCCCCAGCATCCCCCCCCAACGGCTCGCCCCTCAAGCCCACGCCTCTTCCCTGCTGGAGCAGGCAGCTGTCCTCGCCCGCCTCCGCTCCCTTAGTCCAGCTCCCACTCACCCGCCGAGCCCAGGAACAGCCATAGCAGCCACATTGCCGCCAGCGCAACAGCCGCTCTGCAAACTTTGGGGGGGCTCTCCCGAAAGCCTCCGCCTCTCGGCCCAGGCCCAGACTGCTGTGGTGGTGGTGGGAAGAGGAGGAGGAGACGGAGGAGGGTCAGGGGGAGGCTCCCTTCCAGCCAGCCGGACCCTCACGCCCAGCCTGCCGCCTGCCTTCTCGTTCGCTCCCTCGCGTGCACCCTCCCGAACGCTTCTTGCCAAACCAAATGGCCACTGCGACGTCCCGGAGCCCTGGCTGGTCCCGCCTTGCCCGAGGGTAGGAGTCATTGTGACGGCTCCCGCCTCCTCCTCGGAGCCCCTTTGCTCCGAGTGGAAAGTAGGTCCAGTGGAGCGCAGCCGGTTAACTGCAGCAGCCTCTTAAGTGCTTCAATCCCCATTAAAACATCCCAGACAGATTGGCGAACAGTTGGCTCCGCCGTCAAACTAATCTTACTTTTCTAACGCTCAAAGGGCTCTGCCTTCCTGTGACTTCATGGAGTACATGGACATCTGCCTTAATCGTTTTAGCCAGCTATTTTAATTATTTTTTCCTTGTTGAGAGATTTCTAGCTGTTCTGGTGTAGTTTTTGTTTTCTGGGCCATTTAATGCCCTTTGGATTGTTGAGAGAGGCTGTTAAATAAAATAAAATAGTAAAAATCATGGAGATTCAGCAAATCCTGGCCCAACAAATTTTCAGGAGATTGGCACTTCATCCCACTCTGTGATGGCCCCCTGGAAGAAGCCTAAGAAGGAGAAAAGTGAATCTAGGCAAGAGTAAATTCAGTGCTATGAGACCTCAGACACAGATCTGACCCAAACATCTATTTGAAACAAGTTAAGCCAACTTTTTTGAGTCTCTCGCATCAAACCAGCAAATCAACTGCAATGCCATGTAAACACTACTTTCTATTTTGCATTGGTCTAGCTGCACTTTGTATATTTTGTCCAGTGGTTTATTTGATCAAGATTAAAATAAGACTTCCTCTTTTTTTGCAATCTTCTGGCAATCCTTTATGGACTTATTACTGACACTAGGATTAAAAATGTGATGTTTTACTAATTTGCATATAGATAAGGAATGGAATATGTGATGAAGAGGTATCTTTATAACTGTATAGGGGTGAAATGTTTATGTATAGTTGTGCTAAAGGTTCAGAGTCACTATATATATTTTATTTTACTTTATTCTTTTTCCTGCACTTTTTATTATTTCTTCACATAATGTTCTCTTTCTCTAAATTTAGTTTTGTTTTAATTTTTATTAAGAATGTTAATTATAACTGTATTTTTTAAAAACACAACATTTTAGTCCGGTTCTGAGTATTGCGTTTTAGGAAGGGCCATGATATCCAGAGAACAACCATGATGATAAGGCCTAGAAAGAGAAAATCTTACTTTTAGCTGTTGGTGTTGCCTTGGGTCTCAAGGAAGTGCAAGCTGAAAGTGTTTTTAGAAGTTCTTGCTAGTGCCAAGGGCATCCAGACAAAACTTGTTCCAGGTTAGGTATAAAAACCTGTCTTACATGAGCACATTTTCACTTGGTGACACAGTGGGAGCCCTTTCAGATTTTTGTTTTTAGGTGCCTTCAAGTGAGTTTTTGACTCCAGGGAACCACCTGAAAAAGTCCCTGTAATTTTGGAAGTAGCTTGCCATTCCTATGGCTCAAACAGAGTGACCAACCCAACATCACATTGCTGCTTTATGCCTAAAGTGGGACTAGAATTCATCATCTCTTAATATTTACCCTGGTGCCTTAATCAGCACACTAAATTGGCTCTTTGAGAATACAGTCTGAGAATTTAATTTAGTGGTGTAGTGTTATATGAATGAATGTATCATGTTAGAAGGTCCTGACACAGCAAAGTTTGGAAAGCTCAGTTGTTCATATTTATTAAAACAAAGTAGGATTTACTTTGAGTAAATACACAGAGAATTAATTCATTTCAGGCAGGAGAGTATGAATACAATATTGCCCTTTTCATCTGATCTAATCTGCCAAAATGTATATTTGCTATCTGTTGATCTCTCATTTATGTTCCTGGTATCTCTTGCTGACAGCCAGGATTATTTTTTTCAGTGTAATTAATCTGAAATTTCTTGGTGGATTTTCAGTCTTTCTAAAGCAGTCAAAATCTCTTTAGCTCCATTGGTGAGCAGAATATATGCAGTTTTACAGAAGATGTGTGGATATATGACACGTGATGATCTATTTGAAACAAGGCACAACTTCCACTGGAATAGGTCATTTTGCATGTTCAATTATAACCGTATTTCACTGAAAATATCAGAAATCAAGTAATTCATTTAAAGTCTAGCGATTTGAGCAATGAATTTGCTTGAAAAGAAGCAGTACTTGTGCTCTTTTTCTTTTATAAATGTGATAGGTGTTTATAAGCATACTTGATAATATCCCCATGGTCAAATGTTCAAAATTCAGACACTTGGCAACTGACTCATATTTATGATGCTTGGGGTGTTCTGAGGTCATGAGGTCATCTTTTGTGACCTTTTGATAAGCAGAGTCAATGCGGAAGCCAGATTCACTTAACATCTGTGTCAAGAAAGGTCATAAAATAGGACAAAACTCATTTAACAACTGTCTTGCTTAGCAACAGAAATGTTGGGCTCAGTTGTGATCATAAATCAAGGACTATCCATATTGATTTTTAGAGGTATTGTGATTAAAATATGAAGTGCTACTGCCCATGATAGAAGTGTTTGTTTTTCTAGCATTGGTGAACAGGATTTATTTTTTCTGTCCCAGATCGAAGTCCTATACCACAAACAATAATAGTACTTCTATACAGTCTTATTTCCTGATGGAATCCTAGAATAATTCAGTACTTGTATGAAACTACAGAATAACTTTATTCCAGCCAAGAATGCAATTGTTTACCTAATAGCCTAAAGCTGCCAACTGATTTTTAAAACTCTTTATCTACTAATCTTCAAAAAAATAAATAAAAATCTGGATGCAAGTTGAACTCTTGTAATTCATTTTTATTATAGTCAATGAAACTCTAGAGATTTGTGAAGATTTCATATAATTTGAAAGGATGAATATTATATTATTTTAATGTGTTTTTTTCTAAATAGCTTGAGTGAAGCTTTAACCATCAATTATTACATTCCAAGTGTATACAATTAATGTCTACAGCAGCAAATTGCTGTTCATTGCAGGATTTAGCACCAAAAATATATTCTGATAATTAAGAGGGTTGCTTGAAATAAGTTTAGTTGGAAAATTCTGTGAACAAAAAGATGGTGTCCAAAGTGATAAGTGGATATTTGCAAGTTTTATTTGCTTTTAAATGCCTTTCTTCATTCTAAAAACAAATAATGTAATTTAGATATACTATTTCTATGTACGATGTGATTAAAAGAAAAACCTAGTGAAAAGGGACATTTTTGTACACATCTGAGCCTATTTTTCCCATGAAATTTCCTACTGGTAGCATTTGTGCTTCTCCAAGATCCTTTTGCCACAGGCTTTCATGCTGTTGGTCAGCAGAATGAATTAGTAGGATTAATACAGCAATACAGAAAGGACTGATATGGAGACAGCTTGGCTGTGGTATTGCTTGGAAACAGATGCTTCCCCATTGATAGGAATTTTCACGTCATCACACATTACATCTTCTCACTTTGCCACCCAGGCTAAAATGAGGGGAGGGGGAAGCTTTTAGATTCCCATGCACGGTGACTCAGTGGGGTAAGCATACTGCCAGTTGGGGGCTAATGGTTGCACTTGTCAGTCAGCGAGAAGGAGCTCAGCCCCAGAAACTGATTGAATTCATCCTGATGTCAATCATCCTGAATCATTTTCTAGGCTTTGAGAGAAGGGTGAAACTGGTTTCTTGCATGGAAGAGCTCAAATGCGTCATCCTGCAGTGTAGCAAGCCTACTCATGCTTGTATATACATTATATTGATCTAAAATTGCACTTGTTTATAGAATTAACATTTTGTGTGTTTATTCATTTTATACATCGCCCATCTGACTATCAGTTTTATCTTTCTGCCACTAGAATAGCACATGCAATTAAATCACAATATCTAGTTTCAATATCTATGATATGACTCTAGCCTCAGAACTTCACATATTTTCTGGCTTGAACATTTAAATATCCTGGGCTGATTGTGCACTTTTAAATGAAGACTCCTCTATTAATACTATAAAAGATCTCTTCCATTCTTTTCTGTTCCATGGAACAGATGGATGGAGCTATGCATCTAATTTTACTACTTCATATCTGTGCAATCCCAGGGGAAATAATTGTAAGTTGCTTTGAACTTTGAAAGTAGGTAGATGGCCAAGCAGGTGTTTCCACTTATTGCTGCAACTTGTAATGAACAGAAAATGAAAGTGCACATTTTCCTATAGGATCATGGCTACAGGTGCAAATAAAATTGTTTTAAATCTCCCTATCCTCAACGCCCAAAAGCAAAAGTCTATTTTTTAAGCATTAACCCTTGAGGAAGGACATATTGATTTCCATTTCTGCTTTCTTCCCCTGAGTTGTATAAAGCAATCCTTTAAAACTGGTCAGTTCAAATACTTTTCATTTCTACCATCTTTGAGAATGAAATCGTCAACTTCAAATACTTTTCATTTCTACCATCTTTGAGAATGAAATCGTCAACTTCTTCATTCACCACCAGCATACAGTATATTACTTTAGATTAGATTAACAATCTATAAAGATTGGATTAACTATAGATTGGATTAACAATACCACTATAAAACATATTCATGTAATAGTTGGTTTTTGTATTCCTAGTTTTTTAAAAAGAGTAACTTGTTTTTTTTAAAACACGGAATACAAAAAGCAACTATTACATGAATATGTTTTACAGTGGTATTATTAATCCAATCTAATATATTGCATGTAGCTTTATGTTTTGTAGGTTCAGTATTATATAATAATGAATACCATTTTTGATTAAACCAAGAACTTTTAAAAGCAAATTTGAATATATCAATGTTACAATTTTCAAAAATCATGGTGTTTTTTTTTCTACTTTGTGGCTGGCCCACAAAGTAAATGCCTTCACCACTACACCAAAGTGGGCCTTTTCTAAATGTACTTTTTAAATTTACCTTAACAATATTTACTTTTTTCCCTACGTTACAGTGATGGTGTTGATCCAATCTGATATGTTACATGTAACTTTTATGTTTTGTAGGTTCAATATTGGTTTCTAGCCTGAT